TATGTATGAGCCCAAGTAATTACCCTCCTCCATGTATATGCTCATATGTTTTGCAATTGGAATATAAAGTGAGTGGTTTTACAATAATAATGTACATATGTTCAATAGCGGACTGGGAATATTTATGCTAGGGTGGTACAAAATGTTTAGAAGTTTAAACAAAATGATAAAAATATTTGAAGCTTAAATGTAACGCTTTATATTGCGATGTGAGGCTAATGATTTATGTTGATTGCATTATCGGCTGCTGCTCCGAACATACTCCCCGCGTTGAAAGGTCAGGGCTTTCAACAGTATCGTTTACTGGAAGGACGCACAGCTTGTTCACTGCTCGACGGGTTGTTCCACTAGACGTGCGTAAAACTGCCACTCGTACTACACCATCAGCTCCAGGGATAACCTCGATTACACGGGCCAGGGGCCACTTCAGAGGCGGTGAGTTTTCGTCCTTGACGCATACGATATCGTTCACTTGAATGCTGGCCTGAGGTGTGCGCCACTTCGCTCGTTGCTGGAGGAGAGTGAGATATTCTCGACTCCACCGATTCCAGAAAATTTGGTGCACGTGAGTTGCGCGCTGCCATCGGTCAAGACGATTACAATTTAAATGTCTCAGGTCAGGTTCAGGTAGAGCTATTAGGGGACCACCAATCAGGAAATGCCCTGGCGTCAATACGTCTAAATCCTCTGGATTTTCTGAAAGTGGTACAAGAGGACGAGAATTAATAACAGCAGCGATTTGACATACCAGAGTGCGCAATTCGTCAAAGCCAAGAAGTGAAGAGCCAACCGAACGATAAAAGTGCTGCTTAGCTGTTTTTACGGCTGCTTCCCACAAGCCGCCGAAGTGCGGCGAGCGGGGCGGGATGAATCGCCAATCAAACCCATTGTTGAGACAGTGGTTATGGACCTCGCTGCGATGCTCCTCGCTTAAAAATAGGCGTCGCAAATCACTCAACTCGTTTCTTGCGCCTACGAAGTTGGTTGCATTATCTGACCAAATGCAGCTGGGTACGCCACGAGTAGCAACAAATCTCTTTAGAGCGTCGATAAAGGCGCTGGTCGATAAGTCCTTCACTAACTCCATCCAGACGGCTTTTGTTGCGAAGCAGATAAAAACGCTAACGTAACATTTTTGAGGGGACTTGTTACGCATTTCTGGCTTATAATAGAACGGCCCACAATAGTCTACACCAGTGACAATAAAGGCGCGTGAGGCCGCAATGCGATCCTTAGGCAAGTCAGCCATGATGTGCTCGACGAGTCGCGGTCTCGATTAACAACATATAATGCATTTACCGAGGGCGTGGGCGACAGTTTTTCTGCCACCTATGGGCCAGTATTGCAAGCGAATGGCTGCAAGTAGTGACTGCGGCGCTACATGATGATGCTTGTGATGAAAATGTGCAATTATGGAGAACGTCAGCGGATGATTCTTTGGTAGAATACACGGGTGACGCGCTTCAAAGCCAAGAGTTGAATGCCTCAGGCGACCGCCAACTCGAATCAGACCGATGTCATCTAAAAATGGTGATAATGAAGAGATGCTGCTAGATGATGAGACACACCTCTTATTTTTCAGAGCGACGTAATCTGACCAAAGCTGCGCTCTCTGAACGATGCGAATTAACAACTGAACCCCATGATGAATGTCCCGAGACGTGAGCTGCGACGTCCTTGGCAATTTTTTTATATTGATAAATTTGCTTACGTAACCAAAAATACGCTGCATTTTGCCAAACGAGTTGATGTACTTAAATGAAAGAGATACGTCGGGTCGATCATTTGATGTAAGTAATACCTTTTGACGAGTTTCCAAAAGCTTGGTTTGTGGTTCGCGAAATTCAGGCCAGCTGATTTCTGCTTTGTGCAAGAATATTGGACCGTGCATCCAAAGAGCTCATTGCAAGAGCTCTCTTGGTGCGGCCCCTTTGGATAGGATGTCTGCTGGGTTCATGGCTGTAGGAACATAGTGCCAAGTCATCCCCTGTGTAAGCTCCTGTATAGCACATATTCGATTAGCGACGAAAACGTTAAATTTTGAAGATTCTTCCTGCAGCCATGATAGAACGATCGACGAATCTGACCAACAATAGAAGCGGCAGTCAAAAACCTTCATCTTGGCTATCTCACCTACTAACTGCGCAAGCAGAGCGGCAGCGCTGAGTTCCAACTTGGGCACAGTCAGAGTTTTCAGTGGAGCAACGCGTGCCTTTGAACATAGCAACTGTAATTGGACGTTGTTATCCTTAGTTGAGCGAACATATACACAAGCGCCATATGCTTCAAGGCTAGCGTCGCAAAACGCATGAATTTCAAGCGCGGCTCCAGGCTGTAATACATAGCGCGGAAATGACGAATGTTGAATGTTGACGAAATCTTCACAAAACGTAGACCAGGCTGTATCCAGTGAATGGGGCAAGCTTTCATCCCACGCGAGCTTATCCCTCCACATTCGCTGTAAAAGAATTTTCGCCCTTGTCAGAGTGGGGCCTAGTAGGCCAAGTGGATCGTAAAAACGAGCTATGGTAGCTAATACAGAGCGTTTGGAATTTCTGCCAGATCTGATCGGCGAAAACGAAAACAACAGAGTGTCTTTGAACGGATCCCAGACTAGTCCCAGAGCCTTGGTGATATCACTGCCGTCATCGAATTTGAGAAAGCTTTCTCTTTCTGTTTGGGGAATATCGCCGAGAACATCAGGGCTGTTGGAGCACCATTTCCGCAATTGGAAATTACCTCGAGAAAGAAGACCTGTTGTTTGCTGCATAATGTTTCGCACTTCCCGCACTGAATTGCCACCAGATATCATATCATCCACATAGAAGTCTCGAAGAACGACCTTTGAACCCAGGGGATATGCTGATGATTCATCAAACGCGAGCTGATGCATGGCCCGAATAGCCAGAAATGATGCAGGCTTAGTTCCATAGGTCACCGTATTCAACTTGTACACGCGTAGGTCATCTTGTGGAGAGTCACGCCATAGTATACACTGGAGCATGTCGTCTGGTGCAGTGACTCGAGCGCGTCTATACATTTTGCAGATGTCTCCAGTAAGTGCGACGGGAAACGATCGAAATCTAATGAGGATGTTGAAAAGCTTCGGTTGTATTGTTGGACCTGACATGAGCAGATCGTTCAGCGACAAGCCCGAAGTTGTAGCTACAGAGCCATCAAATACAACTCTCAGCTTTGTTGTAGTGCTGTCATCCTTGATGACACAGTGATGTGGAAGGAAAAACTTACAGTCATGAACATCCTTACTGGAGACTAGTGACATGTGGTTGAGATCCAAATATTCGTTAATGAATGCCACATATTGTTCCTTGAGCTGTGGATTGCGAGTCAGTTTTCGTTCAAGACTGCGAAAGCGATGTAGTGCCTGTAAATACGAATCACCTAGTGACTCCACGCTACTCTTCATCGGCAGACGCACGGAATACTCGCCTGAAGACAGACGCGAATAATTTTGCCTAAAGTGCTCTTCGCAGTCGAGCTCTTCCTTTGTTGTTTTAGCGATTGGCTCAATTACATGGTCGATTTCCCAAAAACGACGCACTAAATAATCTAGCCGAGTACTACAATCAATGTCAGTAGATGACCGTTGACGTACGACGAAAGATGAGAGTTTGGGCGTTTGTTGTCCACCACCGGACAGCACCCAACCAAACCGAGTTTTTTGAAGCAATGGCAGCCCAGGCGCCAACTGAATTTGGCCCACACAGAGAAGTTCGAAGAAGAGTCCTGCTCCTATAAGCAGATCAATACGCTGTGGTATGTTGAAGTTGGGATCAGCCAGCTGGATGTTGGAGGGAAGTCGCCAATTAACGGTGCTCACTGTAAGGCCAGGTTGACTTTCAGTGATCGTTTGTGCGACAACAGCAGTAATCGTCGTCGAGAAATCAGAAGTCCGCGACTTCAGTACGAGATCGACCGAGTATCCCTCCGTTGAAAAGTTGACGTCGCCAATGCCAGATACTCCAGCGAAGGTTTTGGTTTTGCGCAGCTGCAGCTGGTTTGTGAAACGAGAGGTGATAAAGTGCAGCTGTGAACCAGAGTCTAACAGCGCACGACAAGGTACGAAAGTGCCGGCACGATTTTTTACAAAAATTACCGCAGTGGCTAGAAGCACATCAGATGGAGAAGTAAGGGCCTGGGACGAGGCAGATAAGGCTGCAGTCATGGCATTAGGTTGGGCTGTAGCGGATTTCAAAGTTAAGCCTTGAGGGCTGGTGGCAGTTGGAGCAGAGCGCTCAAAGTGCAAAAGTGTATGGTGCTTTGCTTGACAGTTACGACAAGACCCCGATTTGCAGTCGCGCATCTGATGACCTTTTTTTAGACAATTGAGACATAGAGCGAGTTGTTTAACTTCCGGAGGTTTGGCGACAGATTTGTAAAGCGAGGACAATGGTATATCAGATGCTCATGGGATCCACAAAATACGCAACCGCCCACTGAGCCACCAGAAGCAACAAATGATTTTCTTTGGTTGGTACTCACGTTTTTACCAGATTTACCAGCTTGACCAACTGGTGTTTGCATAACGTGTTCGACGTTTTCGAGCGTTCTACAGCGCTTCTCCAGAAAGGTAGATAACTGGTCCCACGAAGGTAGTTCGTTTGTCGGCGAATTCTCCTCCCATTTGGATTGAGTCGCTTTGTCTAACTTCTGTATTAGTAGTTGTACAATGATACAGTCGGATATTTGCTCCTTGGACCCAAGCGATTGCAGTGCACGTATGTGAGCGGTGACTTTGTCAGTTAGTGCCCGTAGCCTGCCTACTGACCCATCTGCTTTGCCCAGCCCGAAGATCTCCCTGATGTGTGCCTGAAATATAAGACGCTTGTTATCAAAACGCTTATGCAAAAGATCTAATGCATTTTTATAATTAGCCTCATTTATTTCTAGAGAACGTATGGTATCCAGCGCTGCACCACTCAGGCAGGAACGTAGATGTTGAAGCTTGTCGACCGGCGTAAGGTCGCTATCCTTGTCGATGACAGATACGAACATGGAGAAGAAGTTTGTCCACTCAGTATAGGCAACAGTGAACTTTGGCAGTGTAAGTAACGGCAAGCGTGATCGGTTGGTGTTCACTATAATTGATTGCGACTCATTGGCGTTAACCCTGAATGTGGAGCATAGCTGAGGTGCACTACGCTTTCCAATTTCACGCTGCAGAGTGGATCTGAGGTTAACTAAAGTGGAGTCGAATTTACCAGGCAGATCGCTGCAAATTGAATCAAAATCCAATTCCTCCAAGCTTGTGTGCGCACCGTTGAAACTTGACTTCAGTTCCCCCAATGAGTCCAGTAGTGCCGTCAGAGCGTATTCGTCCATCCCG